CCTTGGTACGGAATCGACACTTCACACGATCAACATATTGCGAGACAGTGATCGTGCGTTTGTCAGCTAGGATAGACGTGATTGGTCGAGACAGATTTTTTCCCTTCATTCCGAGATGCGACTTGCGGATTGCTTTCTCGGATATGTAGGATCGCGTTGATCCTGAGTCCAATAGTGCACCTGCGCGGGTATGTGCAATCTCTACGTCCGCGAGTAGTAGGTCACCCTTAGACTTTGATTTCTTAGCTCACGAGCTTCGTAATGCCAGCAACTCGTTACCAAGCTCGTCAAGATAGTCGTCCAGAGAGACAGTGCATAAAACAGGTTCAGGGTGTTCTGGACGATGGGCCGAAGAAGAGTCATCCTCTGCCATGCGAATCAAAGGGTTGGAAGGGATCGTAGGCGCCTTACCTTCTTCTTGGTCCAAACCCTTTAACTAAGTAGGAGCAAATGCTACTCCTACTGGCTGCTCGCTTTTGGGTTCCGAATAAGTGGGCACCAAGCAATCACGTGCCCTGCGGTACCGCACTTTAGACATTGCGCATTGTTCATTCTTTCCTGCCATAATTCTCTGTGAAATTCCCATCTTTCCCTAGGGCCTCCCGGCCGCAATTCCGGCCTCTCTGTGAAACGAGCGTGGCTTCTTCTTCTTTCCTGGTGGTCGTGATCCTCCCTTGTTGACCACGGCAGTAGTGATTTCCCCTTTCCTGGAATCATTGCTGCTCGCCACACCCTCGGCCTCCAATGGCCACTTCTCCACAATATCGTCATCAAAGACGACGAGGGTGTGGTCTTGGCGCTTTTGGCGCCAGGGTACCCGCTTGCCTACACTTGCGCCTCCTCCACCGCCATACTTTACTACAGAGGCATACAAGTTCTTTACTTATGAAGTCATTTGCTCTCGCTAGAGAGCCAAATCGCGAAACTGCCTATAATTGTACTTTCCGGATTTCGATTCTGCCACGAGTTGTCCACGAATGGGCTCGGGCAGAGTGCGGGAATAGATATACAAAACTTGGTTGTCTTGCAGGTTCAATCCAGGAACCTGCAGCAACCGATCAACTTCTCGAGACAATGCTTCCACTGAGGTCCAATGTCTTTGGTTAATGGTGGTGAGTTGATCAAAGGCCTTATCGACTGTTGTCTTATCCAGAAAACGTTCCTTGATCTTGCCAAGGAACTGCTTCAGGTTCAATGTCGCAGCCCACTCACCAATGTCATCGAAATCTGCAGCGTTGGCTTCGACCAATGCCCATTCCTTTGCTTCCCCCCCCTAGACAAGAAGTGGAGAAAGCAACTTGGGATTCGGGTTCAACAGGGGTCGTACTACAGTACGTCTGAATTTCCGTTATCCAGAGCAACAAATTCTCATCCTTTTTGTTGCAAAACGTAAAAGGCAATTTCATCTTCACTTTTTCTTTTCTTTTTTCGGCTTCTCCGGTTCCGTACTTACCTTACCTTGCGGAGAAGTTGGAGGCTTTGGAGGTGGAGAGGAAGGAGGCGTGGAAGGAGGAGTGTTATGTGGAGAATACAGCGGACTAGGTCCTCCTCCATTAGACGGCTTCCCTCCTCCATTATTCGTCTTCTGATCTTGAGGAACAACAAACTTCATCACATCACTCATTAACTTTTTTACTTATTTCTTGTCTTCCTTAACCTCTTCTTTTTCTTCTATCGGATGCTTCCCTTTCACAATGTTTGTGACAGTTCGCAATCTTACAACAATTTCGTCTAACTGGCTTTGTTGTCTGTCAATCTTCTCTTCCAAGAAGGTGAGGTAAGTCATGATGTGATACAATGTACATGTCATGTCAGTCTGTTCCTTCCCTTCTGTTCCTATCACTTGTCCAATTTCGTTCACTTTCTGTTCCCGTCTTAGTTCCTGTTCATGTTTCCGGGCTAGTTCTTCTTTCTTCCTTTCTTTTGTAGCCAGCGCCTCTCTTAATTGTTGGATGTTTGCGTCAATCGTAGCCTCGGTCACTTCTGGTCTGATTTCCCCTTTCCTAGATGATTCCATGACTTCTTCCAGTTGCTTGATAGTAAACTAGTCCAGAGCCTTCCGACACTGAGCCATCATTTTAGACACTTCGACACCGACAGCTACAACTTCCGCGGCCGTAATTGCTTGCTTCATACGGTCCTCTACCGCCTTTAAATCAAACAGATTACGAACGTGTCGTTCAGCGTCCGGTCCGGACAGATGCAAATCATTCAACAGCTGGTTCCATAGAGCCAGTAACTCTTGTTTCTTTGTTTCCGCCTGTCTCCTACTCTTGGGTTCGGAAGACCCTTCGCCCGTTAAGAATGTCATTGGAAAAAGAAGCAAAAGTAATTTCCACACACCAAACATCTTGAAAATCAGGTTTGAGACAATATTTGCAATAATGGAACAGAAAAATAAAAAGAAATAATAAAAAGAAACATATCTCTACTTATACTAATTGTTGTTCTTTCGTTTGTGTGATGACGTCCTATGAGTGTACAGGTACCACGCCAGGCCCATGTGATCAGACACAACACATAAGTACGGAAGCACCACAACACAGCAACGACAAGGTAAGTATGCCAACAACAACAACAACAAACAATTTGTCAGCAACCTTTTTCAATCCGTTGTGTCGTCCTGGTGTCAGTGCGATGATGCACTCTCCCGGACAACTGGCACTATAGTTGTATAGTTGATTCAGTCATTTGTACCACCGTCGTCTTCAGAATGCTTCTCTTACTTGGCAGTAATCCTGCCTGCCACGTGTCATCCCTGGAGTGCCAACATAGCATGTACTGCCACGTCAGCACTCTGTACCACAATGTCCAGTCAACCAATAGCGCAATGCCACATCGGCAAATGTGTACTCTGATCCTTCCCACGTGCCACTTCCACGCGTCACGTCTCGATACCGTCGCCATTCCGGCCAGTTAGACAATGCCACGTCATCCAAGAGACCGATGCCACATCAGGAGGTAGTCATCACCTCACGAAGACAGGTGTGATAACTTGCTTCCTGCCACGTCAGCAATCAACCCTGTGTCCCAAGGCCATGTCAGCATCTGCAGTAGACCCTGTCGCGCGTCAGTAGCATAAAAGTGCCACCTCAGCAATCAATCAACAAGGTCTTCAGACACGACATAACATATGCCACGTCAGCAGGGGATCGTGATGCCAAACTATCGCGATCCAGGCTGGCGTGCGGTATCTCTTGGTTGCGGTCCCTACTGCCACGTCAGCAGCCTCGTGGGGATCTACTCCCGCTGGTGAAACAACACCAGCGGTGTCTTCTCGCCCGTGAAGTCTGTGCCACGTCAGCACCCCCGGCGTATCTCTTGACACGTCATCACCTATTCAACACACGTGTGCACCGCACTTACCTGCGCGCCACCTGGCGCGTGCACACGTGTACAATCGTCGTCGTCAGGAGAACTGCTCCGATACCAAATTGCAATGAATCCAGATTGTAAAGACAGTCGTTGACAATGCAAGCCCGGATGAATGTCAAACAGCTGATGATTACCAATAGTCAAAATCGTATCCAGACAGAATGAGATGAGATATCATACACAGACAAAGAGAGAGGAGGGAGATTAGACAAAGGAGAGGAAATAGGCCCACTCCTGCTTCGGGCTCCCTCCTCAATCACCACCTCAGTCAATAGTCTGAACAAGTATCTGAAGTAATCTCAATGTGCCACGTGGCACGTCTAATTAGTCCCTCATCAGCGCTGGAGCAATGTCGACATGAAGACCATCAGGTACGTATCCACGATCTCTCCACAGTCCCGATCTCCTCCCGAATGACGATAATCAGAACAGCAATACAAGTCCCGTAGCCTCGCCTCGTCAGCCACAGTAGAACAGTGGCAGCAACCACGTCATCCAATAATACACGTGGCAGCGGCCACATCAGCGACAGCGTATGGCAGCTGCCACGTGAGCATGCCAAGAAGACAGGTGCAAGCCAGCCACCATGTCGGACCAGCAGCGCCTCGCCGAATCACAAATGCCAGCGTCGCAGCGTCGAGCCAGCATTGAAGTCAACGCGTGAAGTCAGCATCAACGCAAGACAGAATGAATGAATGTCAAAGCCAGGGAGGTCAACGCTTAAGTACCGTTGACTCGGGGTCTGGACCCCGGATGCTTCAACCTTTAGCCGTCCAGATCTTGATGCAAACGAAGGCCCGGATTGGCCTGAAACTGAATTCCCTTCGGCCTGGATACTTGTCTGGGTACCTGCGCACAACAAGTGAGTGTATCCAACCAAGGGCCTGGGCGTGGTACCTTTGACTCTACAATTGACTTTGACTCTTGACTTTCCTGAGTGCAGCGTTTGGTCACACAGCCAAACGCGACAGACTCAGGCCTGGGTGTGTCCTGGTCACATAACCCAGCGCAGACCAAAAGTTCTGGGCCCCAGACTACTTCTGAACAGGGTTACTGCATAATTGTGAATCGCGCATTAATTGGTAGCTGGGAATTTCGAATATCCTTATTTTTTTGAAATTCGAAAGTTCCTCGTTACTTCAAGGTTCCAAAATTTTTTATTTTCTCGGGAGATCTCTCTTTGCAGTTAAATTTCGGGGTTTTATTCCCCAAGATTGAAATTCTGCTGCGCATACTCTCATCTGAAGTATTCCGAAATTTATTTTTTCGGAATTACCTGAACTTGCAAATTTTTTGCAGTTCAATTATTATTATTCTATTATCATTAATCATTTGCAGTTTGAAATTCGGAAAATTTTTTGTTTTTCGGATTTCCGTTTCTACGCTGCTGTGATTCCCTTCTGATTGCTTTCAGCCGACATTCTGAAATTTCTGTCTGCTCGCTGCTTAGCGGAATTCAGAACGGGTGGGACTAGGGACGCTCGAGACTTGCTCGTATTCTTTTTCGAGTAAGTCCCCTCCTAGCTCCCTCATTTCGGGGTAATCATACAAACCCCATTGATTCTTTTTTATTTTTTTTTCTGCAGTTACGGGGAACTTCTTACCCCCAGTTGCCGTGAACCTGGGCGATTGTCTCGCCCCATGGGGGGCAGGGAAATGCTGTGAATTTTTTCTCCCTCCCTCCCACCCCTGTTGTGCATGCTTCTCCTCCTCCTCGGCATCGACACGTCAGTGGTGACACGTCAGCAGGCCACATCAGTAGGCCACGCCAGTTGTGCCACGTTAGCAGTACATGACAGCGGTGCAGTCTTCTGCGGACTTGGAACAGACCGCAGCTATGGACCGCAGGGAATGGGAGTCTGATGTAGACGATTTGTTATGCCGCGAGCCAGGTGAAACCGACGACGCCTACATAGTCCGCCTGAACTCCATTACTSAGGAGCTCGAGAGCAGACTGGCCGCAAGTACCGCCGCTCGCAAGAAGAGGGAGGCAGAGGCAGAGGAGGCTCGCCGCTTGGCAGAAGATGCAGCAGCTGCAGAACACAGGGCTCCGCAGATTACTTTGCCGGTATCTGCGGCAGCGAACAAGGTACAGCTAGAACAACAACCTGTTGTGGTGGCCGCAGACTCACGGGCCACCGATATTTCAGAACACGCTGCTACCATGGGAAAGGGTGACACGGTAGCAGCACCCCGGAGAGGTGATTTTACGCCCAAGTGCAACGACACAGACAAGAAGAAGGCGTCCACCTCATCATCATTTTCCGGGACCAGGCAGCCGACTCAGGAAACTTGGACCTATCATGGCATCGCCGAGGCCACGTACCGGACGTGGATGAAGTATAAGTTTACTTGTGGAGCGATGGCAACAAGACCGCCGCCTGCTCAAACCGTTCGGAAAACGGAGTCCCGCCGGGAGTGTTACAACTGCACTCCCGATGCCGCCGGACCAGGCTGCCTCGTGAGCAGCCACCCTTGGGTCCGGGGCACATGCGGAAGTCGTGAGTCCTCTCTTTTCTTCTTTCGAGGACCTCGCTGCCCGGCTAGTTCCACCGCTGGGCCACTTTGTTCAAGGACGAGTACCCATCACTTCAGCGGTTTCCTCTCCGTCCGTTTGCAGTTCGACTTCGACGCTTTCGACTTCTTCAAGGGATTCAGCGTGCAAGTTCAACATGGAGGACTTGAACCCGTTCATGCCCGAGGATTTCATTTTGCCTCTCCCTACGAGCTGCTCACCGGGACCGCATCGCGCCACAAGTTGCGCCCATTCACACGTGTACTCATCCTTCTATGCACCACCAACTTCGCCGACGGATGACGGAGTCGCGGTGGCCGACCTTCTTGATTGTTTTATGAAGGTCGGGCGAGTTCGCACGCAGCGGCACGATCACAGCTACGCACCGCTCCTTCCAGTCCACGTCCCTTTACGGCAAGCGTCCTGCAGCGCTTCGCCGGTTCGCGGAGCAACTCGCGATCTGAGCAGCCAGCTGTTCATGGAACACGCTGTCCTTGGCACACAAGTTCGGAGGCGGTTTCACCTTGCGTCGGTCATGCACCGACGTATTCATAGGAGGCCTTGACTTCCTAGCGCAGATCACACGGTCAACTTCCACCAGCGGACGATTACCATTCACAACGCCTTTGGCGTGGAAGTCCCATGTTCTTTTCCTCCTCCGCACCCTCCGACCTGTTGCCAAGTTGTTTCGGCCACATTTTTTCGGGGCCATTTGTGCTTTTCCACAGCTGAGGAACTCGACCTCCACCTTTGTTCCACTTGTCATGGTGACCAACTTCTCACCTATGGATACGTTTTCGGATCCTCGAGTGCCCCGGTTACTCGACGAGTTGGTGGACGTCCCTTGTCATGGTGACCGACTCTTCACCGATGGATCCGTTTTCGGATCTTGAATGCCTCGGTTACTCGACATGTTTCTCGTTTCACCCCGTCACAGCAACCAACTTTCATCTACGGATCCATTTTCGGATCTTACAAACATCGGTTCCTCGACGAGGTTCTTGTTTCATTTTGTTGCAGCAACCGAGTCTTCACCTGCGGATTCATTTACGGGTCTTGCGGGCCTTGGTTAGTCAACAAGTTTTGGTACGTTGATATTTCGGCCACGATTCTCCGAGCCACTCATGCTTACAAGTGGACCAAGGGAATCAGCCATTTGGATCGCTTCTTTCGTCACGAAGACCGACTGTTCACCACGGCTGCGTTTTCAACGAATTGGGGACCAGTCTGACTTCTTCCCGTTCACAGTCCGGGAAAGTCAAACCATTTTGCGGATGCTCTCGTACGGCATCCGGACCATTGTACCGCGACCTACTCGACTTTCGAGGTTGACGATGACTCGCAGGACAGCTTCATCCGCGGCTACCAAGTTGACCCCGAGTTTTGCGACAAATACGCAAACTGCTCCTCTCACAATCCGGCGCCATCGCATTATTGGATCCAAGAGGGCTATTTGCTAGTCCGCTCGCGCGGGAAGGATCTTCTTTCGTGTGCCACGTGATCCACACTTGCTTATGCAACTTCTTGGCGAGTTTCGTTCCCCCCTCCGGACACTTTGTCACTGTGGTAGATCGACCCACCAAGTTTGCCACATTGCTGCCTTGCCGCCATCATGCCAAGGCACCGGAGTTAACCAAGGTTCTTGATGCTGGTTGGATTCGTCCCAAGGGTTACCCCAAGGAGATCGTTTGTGACCGCGGCACTTGGTTCATGTCCGATTTTTCGGGGGGCGTTGGCGCTCCTCAAACGATATGGCTCATCTCATTAGCAACATGAAGTTGACCGTTGCTCGACCCGTGCGGAACTTCAGGTCACAGCCCCCGATGTTCCCACACCTTACGAACGCAAGTTACAAGGCAAGTCGGTATCTTCGGCTCCACGCCATACTCGCGTCCAGGTTCCACCATCGGACCATCAGCTTCCCCTCGACCCGGCTTGACTTCATAAGGAAGGGGGGGTGTTACATGCTGCACGTGCACACGGGCCCCATTTCAGGGGCCCGACGGTTGCTAAGGGGCCCCCAGGCCGCGCGCCCTTTTGACGCGCACCGTGGAGGCCCACGACGGCCCCTAAGGGCAGGATTTGATTTACGACAGCATTCAGTTATTTATTTATTTGCTAGCTGCCTTATTTTTGTCTGTTCAGGCATCGTTTCGGACTTGCAGTCCCCAAGGCTGCGCCTTGGGCTGGGTACACCAGGAGGAAGGGCCCTTTGAGGCCAGGTTCGTGCTCGTCCAGTTATGGACGTCCCTGCTGCATCTGCAGGCAGGGTCTAGACGTCCGGTGGGGACCCAGACCCAGTAGGCCACGTTTTCGGCCTAGGACCAAAGGCACACGGAGGCAGACCGACAAGGCCTAGCACTACTTATAGCTGGGCCAGGCCAGGACAGACAGGAGAGTTGGAGTAGCCCACTTCTTTGGGCGACACGCTGCTGAACCAGCGCTACAGCGCTACCGCGATATGCTGGGGTAGAGGTAGAGGTGTAGGCAGGCAGAGGGGTGGAGGCCATACCTGCGCCGGCGGTACTTACCTGGGCGCCATAGTCGTGCTCCACGCCGGCGACCTGCACAGGACCACGACGGCAATTGGTACATGGCAGCAGTTACCTGCAGGTGAGACAGTGAGGAGGACGACACTTTCTTCTTCTTCGTCTCGCCCTCCATCTCTTCTCCTTCCTTTCTCCTCCTCCTTCCTCTTCTTCTTCTTCTTCTTCTTCTTCTTCTTTCAGAGAGAGAGAGAGAGAGAGGTTACAGGCAGAGGTTACATCAGGCATTGGCCCAGGATCTGATTCGACATTTTGTGGCAGACATTGATTGGACATTCGGCAGGGAGGCTATTTCTGGACTTCGCTATCGCGATCTTGGTCGTCTTCTTCACCTCCATCTTCATCCTGGGTCTCCCCCATCTCTCATCCGTGGTATCTTCCCCATGTGTGTGTACGAGGAGGGACCTTTTTTCCATGCATGTGGTCCCTCCTCTTCCTCTCACGTGTGATGTATGATGGGAGGTCGCGTCAGTATCTGATCGGTCAGGACATATCTTTGAGTCTTCCGTTGCGCTACTTTGTGCTATTTTCTAGAGGTACATTGCTGGTTAATGCTTTGCTGACACTGCATTGTCCATTCGACTCCTTTTCATCATTTAGCGGATCCTTGGCTCCATATACATTGCTCGACCGAGCATGTATCACGTCTCTCCCTTCACCTCCTCGACTTCACTTCTGTCTTTGGTATCTCCCCCTGTCCTCTCTTTCACCTTTCTCCGTTACTCTGTGGTCGAGCTCCGCGGCTATGGCCGCCTCCTTCCTCTTCGTTGGACTGCACAGCGGTCTTCACAGGTACGTGACAACCAAACTTGTATC